CATGTCGCAGGTAGCGAGCGGAGAGAGGCAGTGGGAGAGAATGAGTAGTGTGTGTGTGTGTGGCCCGATGGGGGTCGATAGGTGTCCGATGGTTGCCGATGTTGGTGACGCAAGTGAATGAAAATGGTGTGCGTGCGTGGCCTGGTATAGGTCGAGAGATTGTTAGTGGTCGCCGATATCGGTGACGGGAGAGAATGATCAGAGTGTGTGTGAGTGGCCTGGTATAGGTCGAGAGATGGCTAATGGTCGTCGATGTTGGTGACACAAGTGAATGAAAATGGTGTGCGTACGTGGCCTGGTATGGGTCAAGGGATGGTTAGTGGTCGCCGATATCGGTGACGGGAGAGAATGATCAGAGTGTGTGTGAGTGGTCTGGTATTGGTCGAGAGATGGCTAATGGTCGTCGATGTTGGTGACACAAGTGAATGAAAATGGTGTGCGTACGTGGCCTGGTATGGGTCGAGAGATGGCTAGTGGTCGCTGATATAGGTGACGAGAGAGAATGATCAGGGTGTGTGTGAGTGGCCTGGTATAAGTCGATAGATGGCTAACGGTCGCCGATGGTGGTGACGGGAGAGAATGATTAGAGTGTGTGTATGTTGCCCGATAGGGGTCGGTAGGTGAATAATGGTCGCTGATGTTGGTGACAAAAATGATTGAAAATAGTGTGCGTGTGTGGCCCAATAGGGGTCGATAGGTGGTTAATGGTCGCCGACCTTGGCGGTGGGTGGTATCACTGGCACGCCTGGAGTGCCGTCGGGGAATGGAAACCCTGGGTAGGTAGGATTGTAGGTACAGGAGGGGAAACTGGAGTTCAGTAGTAAACTGTTGGTAAAGGCATAGGATTTTATATTGTTGCATTTCACACATGTATTTTGAGTTTTATTGTACTGAGTTAAATGAACTCACTCTTTCCTTTTTACAGATGATGTAGGGACGGAGTCCGGACCGAAGTTGTTGGATTCTGAACCTAGTGTGTAGAGTAACAGGATGAAAATTTTCGTTTTTTTTCTTAACCGAATGGAATGTGTAAAATTGATGGTAGCATAGATATTGAGTATGATTATATTGTGTGCGATGTCTTGTACATGATTGTAGGTTTATCTTTATTATTGAATAAGGGATTGTGCTAGTGTTTTCTTGTGCATGACCGATTAGTTATGGAATTGGTTGCTTTATTAATTATGTACAACTTAAAAAAAAAAAACACGTAGTCACCTATATATATATATATAATTCCCCACCAAAAGAAATTTATAATTTGATTAAAAAGCATATAGTTAATAACATGTTTTTAAAAAATAATAAAATTAATAAAATGGAGACTTGATTGATTTAAAATGTTAAATTGATTTTTTAATTCAGTGTAGTTAATATAACTAATAAAATGTAATTTTCTAGTAAGATTTATTTTATTAAAAAATATAATATATTAATTGTGATTTTTAAAAAAATATTTATTTTACTCGTAAATATAATAAAATAATTAAAATTTATTTGAATTTATTATTTTAATTTCATAAATAAATTATCAGTTTGACGGAAATACGTATTATAATTAATTATTATTATTTTATAATTTAAATTTATAATTTTTGTATAAAATATAAAGTCGTGTTATTTTAACTTTTAAATAACGAAGAATTTTTATAAATTATTACATAAATTAACATAGTAACAAATAAAAATTAATAATAAATGAGAATTAATAAAATATAGTTATATCTAATGAGATACTTACACTTTTAAATAAGCAAAAAAATATATATATTATAGTGTTTGCATTTTTAAATCATTTAAATTATCTTTAAAAATAATACAAAATTTATATATAAAAAAAATTATTTATGAATCTAATAAAATGATATAAATTAAGTTCATATTTAATTAAACTAATTATCGATTTAAAAGGATTTAAATAGTGTATTATTTTATTTTATTTTTTTGAAAATTCACCATAAAAATCCAAAATTTATGTACACACTTAAAATTTCTATTATTATAATACAATCTACACCTAATATAGAATGTATAAATAGATTTTCATAATCTGTAAATTATTCTAAACATAATTGTAGATTTAGATTTTTATAAAAAATAAATAATATGGTATTAAAAATCATATCAAACCATAAGGGTGGATACATATTTAATTATTTTGGATATCCCTTGATTTTTGGGTAAATTAATTACATAAGAGTGATTATAAAAATAATCAACTGTAATTAATTTTATCCAAAAGAAGCCAGATTATGATTAATTACTAACTAAGATTTGCTAATCATGTTTTAACTTCTCTCCATGCACATGCAAATTATTTAAGCGGCCACCATCTCTTCTATTCTGCACCCTGTAACACCAGCAACGAAAATGGCAAGAGAAGCAAGCCCCGTCACAGCTCCCCCTCGTCTTCTTCTTCTTCTTCTTCTCCTCCTCTTTCTCTTCATATTTAGCTTCATTGTCTCCGGAACTCAGGCTCGATCAGCCTCGCCGATGAAGCCGTCACCGACGTATTCCTCCGCAGCCAACCGTCTCAGAATGTTGTATGAGATCGCAAAGGAGGGTCCCAGCGAAGGTGGTCCGGGACATCGAACGGTCGGAGCTCATTCTTCACGGCCCCGTAAGGTTCGAGCACCAAATTTCAGCCCCGGTGAGAGTCGGACCCAGACTTGAGGCCTTCGACTTGTTTTTTCCATTGTAGAACGAAGTTGCTTCCTCAAGTTTTTATATTTCATTTTCCATGATTAGGAGAGTTGAAGGAATCGCGGATCTTTCCTTTTCAAGAATTTATGTTAAACATGCAAAATCTTAATAAATAAATAAATAAATAAATTTTATGTTCTCTAATCACAAAATTCTTGTGTCTGCTTAAAAGTTACGAGAACTTATTATAGATTAACCATAACGCCGATCTAGAACACTTAATATGATATGATCAGAGACTTAGTCTACTTAATTCATTTCGGTTTTCAATTTCAACGTTAACCCACATAAATTTCAACCTTAAAAGATTAAATAAATTTAACGAAGAACGTAATTTTTTAGTGATAACATTTTTTATATTCTATTTGAATGTCACGAATTTAAATCTTATTAAAAACGTAAAATTTGATATTTTTTCAATTTATTATGAATTATATGCGACCAATCTATAAACTAATGTATAATACTTGATTCAGTAGGTTTAGAGGCTTAATTTATTTAATTTTTAATTTCAACTTTGAACGGCCTTAATTTCAATATTAAAAGATGAATAAATTTGACCAAGAATATGATTTTCTAATAATATAGTTTGTTATATTTTATTTGAATGTTACGAGTTTATATTTTATCAAAAAAATATAAATTTTGCATCACTTTATGAATTTATTAGTTTACTTTTGTTTTCAATTTTAACTTAATTATTATATTTGTTATTTATAAAATTAATTTTTTTTTGTAATTTAATTAATGAGTTATTATGTGTAAATGAATAAAATAATAAAACTGAATAATATGTAACGGAGCCCACCATAGCTCCGTGGGCCTGAGGGATTCGTTCATGGCAATCCAATTCTAGTCGAGAACTGCCGAACAGCACCTTCACCTTCAAACCCATTCTCCCGCCTTCCGTGAGCCCTACATCGAAAACGCTGACACTGTCTTCCGTCGTCTCCTCCGATCATCTCCGTCGATTCCCGCACGCGGCGGCGAAAGGCTGATGAGCTCATCCCTTCCTCAACACGTGTCTTTCATACCGATGCGGACAGCAAAATGACGGCACTTAAAATGGATTCTTCGCCGCTGTCCCGAGCTCCCTCGAAGCCTTGTGCAGAAATTGTTTCGCCTTAGACAGGTTTGTTTCAACTTGCACCTAACAGAGACCTTAGATCTTAATTTCATAGTTATGGTTTCATGTTTATGATTGGAATCATTATCAGAACTTGGAATTGTTAGCTTGCACTAGTATATATACATACATACATACGTGTGTTTACGTGTACTCGCGCACATGTTATGCGTAGATATATATACACACAGATATATATATATATATACAGGAGTTACTGTAAAATAACCAGCTGCAATTAATTTTCCCAAAAAGAAGCGGACTCTAATTTATTACTACTAAAACTTATCTCTCTCTTGTACCTCACATGCAACTTAGTTAAACGGCCGCCATCTCTATTATTCTAAACCCTGTAACTCCAGCAGCGAAAATGGCGAGAGAAGCAACCTCTGTTACAGCTCCTCCTCCTCGTCTTCTTCTTCTTCTTCTACTCTTTCTCTTCATATTTAGCTTCATCGTCTCCGGAACTCAGGCTCGACCAGCCTCACTGATAAAGCCATCGGTTCCACATTCCTCCACAGGCCACTATCCCATAATGTTATTCGAGATTGCGCAGTCGGGTCCCAGCCACGGTGGCCAGGGACATCTTGCGACCGGAGCTCATTCTTTATGGCTCCGTAAGATTCAAGCTCCGAATTACAGCCCCGGTGAATAAATTTTTGTGTTCTATTTAAATTTCATAAATTCAAATTTTAGTGAAATTATAAAATTTGCCACTTCACTGTCATCAATTTATAATACTTAGTTTAATAGTTTTATGATTTAATTTATTTAATTCACTTTAGTATATAATTTAACGAATAATATAATTTTTTGTATTATACTTAAATATATCAGAAATTATAAAATTCATTACTTTATGAGTTTATTATGAACTGATTGTAATCAACTTATAATACTTAAATTAGTGAAATCAGAAATTTAGTTTATTTAATCAAGTATATATTCATTTATTTTTAATTTTTTTTTGTAATTTAATTGTGAGTTATTACGTATAAATAAATAAAATAATAAAAAAAATTCAAACGGAATTGTCTTATTCTGAAAAAAGTAATAAAAATTAAATAATATGTAAAAGAGCCCACGATAGCTCCATGGGCCTGTTTGTTTATAATGCCCAGGCCTGAGGGGTTCATTCGTTAGAATCCAATTCTAATTGGGTTCTGCCAAACAGCACCTTGACATTGAAACCCTCCCTCGCGCCTTTTACGAACCCTACGTCGAATATGCTAACACGATGCCCCAATATCTTCCGTCGTCTGCTCCGATCATCTCCGTCGATCACCGCACGCGGCGGAGAAAGGCTGTTGAGCTCATTATTTTACCAACATGAGTCTCTCTACAGCACTCATACCGAAACATTAACCGAAAACGACCGGAACCGTAAAAATGGCAAATGGTTCATTTTACCTCCGTTCGCTCACACCGTCAATCTATCCGCTTTGGGAAAAGAGCTCACCGGCGGCGGGTGTGAATCGAATTCCGATGCGGACAGCAAAATGACGGCAGTTAAATGGACTCTTCGGTGCTGCCCCGAGCTCCCTAGAAGCCTTGTGCAGAAATTGTTTCGCCTGAGACAGGTTTGTTTCAACTTGACCGAATAAAGACCTTAGATCTTAATTTCGTAGTTATGATTTCATGTTTACGATTGGAATCACTGTTTTCCTTATGATTTAATGTTAGTAGCATGTGAGTAAAAGCAAAGGTGAATTTCGTTAGTAGAACTTGTAATTGTTAGTTTGCACTGTGTGTAAAACCTAGCTTACGTACGTTTATAATTATTTCAAATATAAATTCATATATTGTTTTTTTATTTTAAAGTATTCTAAATTATAATTTTGTCTTGAAATGAGTTTGATATGAGATTGAGGAATTGTGTTTCAAATTTTATAGAATTTATGTTGTTATTGTTTGTCTAAATGTAGTGAATTAATTGAATTACACAAAATGTATTAAGTTTTGTAATTATTTCAAACATGAACATTTGTTTATGAATGAATGAACTCATGGCTTAATTTATTAATGAACAATTTTTTTTTTAAAAAATGACTGGTCCAAATCATTTCCAATTCTCTACTTAATTCTATTGTTATTATGCTATTGTTCAATCTAAAATTTTGAGCTTTGAAATTGAATTTGGTGTCTCTTTTTGGATAATTTAGAAACCTTCTAATCGGATGCACCTCAAGATAATTAATCAATTTCAACGCAAAGGTCAGATAATAAAACAGAGAGATCTCATGGTAAACAAATATTTGCAGGTTCGAAGGGAACCCCTTGCAATAGAAGTTTCTGATAATGCTACCGATGTACAAAAAGGTCAACTGAAAAGGGTAATTGTGTTTTGATCCGAGTATAACTAGCTAGCATTTTTAACAAAAAGAAAGCAATTTACAGTGAACTATATTATTTACATAATCGAAGAGATTTTGTTTTCTAATATTTAAGATTATTGGAAGGTCGCAGCTAAGGACTCTTTGAATATTGGAGATCGAATCTATCTTCCTGGTTCAGTTCAACAGTTCCCTATGAAAAAACAAGAGTGCCATTGCAATGAAGAGGAAGTGAAGTTTATTCGCGGTTTGGTGCTTTATAAGGTTTTTCAACATTAAAAATTTCTGTTGGTTTGGTGGTATTAATTAATAGTTCCACCTAATTTCTGATTATTCTGCGTATCTATGCTAGGATTCATCTATTGTTGTTATCAACAAACCTCCTGGGATGCCTGTTCAGGTAAACTACCATGCCCTCTTCCTTCTTTGCATAATCCATGATGTGACTTTTTTAGGAAATTCTGTTGCTATTTATGTCTGAACAGGGCGGTATTGGCATCAAAAGAAGTTTAGATGAACTGGCTGCCACTTGTTTAACTTTTGACTATGCAGAACCTCCTCGACTGGTGAGTTTCCTTGTGCATTTAAGAGATTTGATTGTAATTGCCTCTAGCAAAAGTCCCTGGGGTTTCTATTATATTCCACAAATTGATTTTTATATGTGGGTTAATATCTTTTTGCCTTAGGAAAGCTGGGTTACTATTATAAAATCTGTCTTTCTGTTAAAAAGTTATGCTTTGCTAGGTGCACAGACTTGACAGAGATTGTAGTGGGCTGTTGGTGTTGGGAAGAACACAAACAAGTGCAGCAGTTCTGCACTCCATTTTCCGCGAGAAAACTTTTGATGCATCAAAAGAAGTAAATTTCCATGGCTCTGATGCCTCGCTCATTTTGATGTCTACACCATTACTATAACAGTTACAATTACAGTACAACCTGTTTTCTTTCTAGGACAGTAACAAACGTAAAAGAATCCTACAAAGACGATACTGGGCGCTTGTAATTGGATCTCCAAGACTCTCGAAGGGGTTGATTTCAGCACCACTTGGAAAGGTTGAAACTTTTCTTAAGAATTATTCAGTAGAAATTTCCTTCTATTTGTGTATCTAAAGCTCAGATTTGAATTAGATTGACAAGGCTTGGGCTCTCTTTGGCACATGAAACATTTCTAGTTTTCATTAAGTTATCCATATTCCTACCATTCACTCCTGTGGCTGAGTTGAGAATTTTAATATGATAAGATTCCAGGTGTCCACGAACTGAGCATCCTGATTCCTTTCTGCATTAACCTTGAGGTGCAATTAACTGATGATAAAAAAAATTTGGTATGAGTGTTTTCCCTATATTTATGGACATAAGCTCTCATTACAAGTCTGCATCTTGCTTAAGGGTCCAACGTTTTGCCATCCGTAATTGATTTGCTGTATTGCGTTATGCTTGTATTGTTAGATGATTATATAATTAGGTTGATAAGGAAAATTACTTCATGGAGGATAGAGCCCTCATGGAGAATTTTCTTGTTCTGTGCTTTTCTATCACAAGATACGTTAAAAATCTTATTTATTCTCTTAACAATATTTTTTTTTTCTTTAACTTTTCACTACCTCCTTTAGTTTCGATAGATCTTTTCTTTTGTAATTTTGTGGTTTTAGGTTGTGGTGAATAATGGAAAGTCTGATCGAATCACAGTTGTTGACAATGCTCAAGTTGCTTCATCTCAGCATGCAATAACAGAATATCGAGTGATTAAATCATCATCCGGTAAGTTATGAACTTCTCTGTGTTATTGCAGATAGCTATGTGGATCATACTATTAGAAACATGGGTGCTGAAAAGTAAATTTTAGACATGCTTATGACATGCATAAACACATGCTTACATACACGAGCTTTCACACACAGACGATGCTCATATCCATACAAACACTGAAATGCAAATTTGATATCTATAAGCATATGAAGCAAGATTGTCATTACTAGGTTATGTCCATACATACCATGACATGGGTGCAACACAATTGTATAGGCTTGAATCCTATTGGGCTCATACAATACGTTTGATAATCGCATCAGTGCTGAAGTTTCTATGACTTTGAATTAGTATTCATTCAACTCTTGTTTTTGTCTCCCTTATTTTTTGGGTACATTACAAGCCTCTGTTAAAGGGAAACCGTGCAATCTCTTTTTGGTGGCTTTTTTTTTTTTACTTTCAAAGTGTTGTTGGTGACGTATTTGTAATAATTCAGGTTACACATGGTTAGAATTGTTTCCTCTCACCGGTAGAAAGCACCAGGTACGGAAATCCTACCATGCTTATGCTCTCTCTCTCTCTCTCTCTCTATATATATATATATATATATATATATATATGCTTACAAGATTTTGGACATTATGTTGGTGTGACAGCTCCGTGTACATTGTGCCGAGGTATTAGGAACACCAATAGTTGGAGATTATAAATATGGGTGGCAAGCTCATAGGAACTGGAAACATTTATCTGATCTTAAAGGGAGTTCAGATGAAGGGTTTCCCAAGGACAAAACACTTCCCTTTGGCCTTGATCTGGAGGGTGGAAGCATCACTGGTAAGCACCGTCACCTACATCTCCACTGTAGGGAAATGATTTTGCCCAATGTTTCTCAAGCGTTAAAACAATCTTCAGACCATAATCTTTCGGAACTGGAACCCCTCAAGCTTCTTTCTCCCTTGCCTTCACATATGCAAAGAAGTTGGAACTTATTGAATTTTTATTCTTGAGCTCCAATTAGATTGTCCGTAGCTTCTTTTAGTTATTATAAGTATTTGAGAACAACTTTTTCTGTTTTAGAGATCACTTACCCGCGTAGAGGTATCCGAATTTAAATATTGGGCGAAGATATTATTTAAATACCCTTCGAATTTAACAAATTGGTACTTAGCAGATTTTTCGCTTTGAAATGCCAATTTGGTACAAGTTCTATTCGATTCAATTAAATTTCAAGGCACTACTTCAATTCCCTTGGGAAGAAAGTACACGGGGGGTTTTTAGATATATCCTTTTGTTTGCAGGGCTGCATGTCATGACAATCCATCACCTATCATCAGCTTCTTCAGGTTCATCTCGACACTGTAGTTGAGAAGTCTCTATAGATTGGGTAAGTAATCTTTAGTATGATACGAAGTTTTGAGATTTAGTCGTGCATAATTAAGTCGGGTATTAATCCGTTTTAACAATTCTGAAGTAGGAAAACTTAACTTCATTTTACTAAATTTGTAACTTCGCATGCTACGCGAGAATGCCAGTAGAAGTAGTGAGTAGGCTGGTCAAGAAATACATGTATTGTCATCCATGCAGCATGCCACATTATAATATTAAGCAGCCAGTAGTTACTTTCTTCTCGTAGAAAACTATATTCAAAGGTTAAAAAGTCAGGATTCAATATTCTGTTATATTATATTTTGTAGAGTCTTTAAAATTAGGATTTAGCACACCTAAAGTCTGTATTACGTTGATCTAATTACACGGTCAACTACCAATAATTACACATCAATAAATTATATTTATAATAATCAAACCCATAATTTCACATATAGAATTAGAGGTAACCAAACTATGTGGGATGGTTGGTAACAAGTCAGTCGTTTAAAATCAAGCATGCATGCCCAATAATGCCGTCTGCAATGGCTGCAACCGAAATCTTGGAATATATATATATATATTCGTTTGTGTATTCAACGGTGATGGGTCCGCCATCCATGATGAACTTGAGGACAACATGAATGTCCCATACGTATATATATATATATATATATATTTACATGTTAGCCCTAGATTTAACTTGTGGGACATGCAAATTTCCCAATGTAACGTGAAAATTCCTAATTTTTAAAGATTAAAATTTTAAGTTCTACTTACGAGAAAAGTTAGATTTCTCGTTGGAGTTATTTTTTTAAAAAAAATTAATTATTAATATTAAATTATATTACCAACAATTTAGTAATTTAATAATTAAATTTTTTGTATTTTATTTAAAATTTATAAATTTAAATTTTTATTGAGAATATAAATTTTTTTTATGTATTTATCTTAAATTTTATTATTTATTTAAAAATATATTAATGTTATAATAAATTTATTATTTAAATCAAAGGGGATATATGTCGCTTTGAGGCAACCTCCCCACCAACCACTCCTTTCCACGTTACGACATACTTTCGTTTCTTGTATGTAAAGTTAGTCTCACCCGCAGGTGACTTGCCAGCACGGTATTAGATTACAAAGAAGTATGTAAAATTATATATATATATATATATATATACGTTTTATTAATTTAAAAATAATATTTTTTAAAAATTAAAGAATTGACATGTGAAAATTCCCGAAAATCTCGTATATAGATAATAATTCAGGTGACATGTGCATTACACCATCCGAATTATTCACCTACCCCCCCTTCTTGACTTTTTTTTAATGAACAGAGACGACGGTCAGAGACGGCGGGGTCCGCCGTACACGTGGCATTATATGATTGGTCGATAGCGGAACAAGTCATCGGACAATAAATAAACGTGGAAGTAGAGGATAGCAACCTAACCTTATCTCTCCTACCTCTTATTCCGCCTGTCGCCACTTACCGAGTTTCGTCTGCTTTTCGCTGGTGACACCAAACGCAGCATTTTATTTTCGTCCGCTCTTTTCGGCAGAAAAAAATATTATTAATTTAAAACGGCTAGTCTGAGTCTCTGTATAAATCCCCGTAAAACGCAGAGAGACACTACCAAAAGTTGTTTGGAAGGAGACGGATTTTCTCAGGAAAACGTGAAGGAAAATGGGGAGCTTAGAAACTGAGAGGAAAACAAATGGTTGGGCAGCTAGAGACCCATCTGGGATTCTTTCTCCTTACACTTTCACTCTCAGGTAATCTTCTTTCGTTTCTTTCCAGATCTTTTTTGTTTTACCTCCGAATTCTTATCTGCTCTGTTTTGCAGGGACACGGGCCCAGAAGATGTTTATATCAAGATTCTCTTCTGTGGAATCTGCCACACTGATCTTCACCAGACCAGAAATGATCTTGGCATGTCCAAGTACCCCATGGTTCCTGGGTAACTCGTTATTTATTTATTTATTTATTTTTTTCCCAGATCTCTGTTTTTTAACGTTAAATTTCTTCTGGGTCATCTTCCATTTCTATAACTGTGATTTCTGTTATCGAGAATTTCAGACACGAGGTGGTAGGCGAGGTGGTCGAGGTCGGATCAGATGTGACCAAGTTTAAAGTAGGCGACACTGTTGGCGTCGGCACCATCGTTGGATCCTGCAGACACTGCCGTCCATGCCAGTCCGACGTTGAGCAATACTGCAACAAGAAAATCTGGTCCTACAACGATGTATACACCGATGGCAAACCAACTCAAGGTGGTTTCGCCGATTCCACGGTCGTCGATCAAAAGTAAGAAAAACCCAATTCAATAATAATAATAGTAAGTCCTCCTTGTTTGGCTGTTTTTGGTTTTAACCATTTCGTACTTGTTCTAGATTTGTGGTGAAGATACCAGACGGAATGTCGCTGGAACAAGCGGCGCCACTACTGTGCGCCGGGGTGACGGTTTACAGCCCGCTGAGCCATTTTGGATTGAAACAGAGTGGATTGAGGGGAGGGATATTGGGGCTTGGAGGAGTTGGACACATGGGGGTGAAACTAGCAAAAGCCATGGGTCACCATGTCACTGTGATAAGCTCTTCTGATAAAAAAAGACAGGAGGCCATGGAGCATTTGGGAGCCGATGAGTACCTGGTCAGCTCGGATGAAACTCGGATGCAAGAAGCAGCTGACTCTCTCGATTATATAATTGACACAGTCCCTGTGTTTCATCCTCTTGAACCTTATCTTTCTTTGCTGAAACTTGATGGAAAACTGATCTTGATGGGAGTTATTAACACTCCTCTGCAATTCGTCTCACCCATGGTTATGCTTGGTGAGTATCTCTCTCCATCAATTTTCCTCATTCCAAACTTGATTTAATTTTTTTTTTTTTTAATGATCTTCGCTTTTTAACAATTGGGTACCCTTTTTTTTTTTCTCTTTTTGTTTTTCACAGGGAGGAAATCAATTACAGGGAGCTTTATTGGGAGCATGAAGGAAACAGAGGAGATGCTTGAATTCTGCAGAGAGAAGGGAGTGACCTCCATGATTGAAGTTGTGAAGATGGATTATGTGAACACGGCGCTTGACCGATTGGAGAAGAATGATGTTAGGTACAGGTTTGTTGTAGATGTTGCAGGTAGCAAGTTGAACAGTGAAGAAAATTGAAGAAAAGGCGGATTGTGTAAGTAAAGGTGGCTCTGGGAATTCATTTTGGAGTGCTCTGTTTTTTTTCTTTTTTTTTTTTTTTTTTTCTCTCTCTGTGTTGTTGTCATCATTATTGTGTTCAGAAGAAAAGGTTTATGTAATAATAATATTGAGAGAGAGTGAGATTTCTATGTAATTCTGGCAAATTATGTAATAATAATATTAATTACATTCATAAATTTATTAATTAATAGCATAAGATAATTAAAATTATTAATTTTTTTAAAAAAAATACTTAACTACCATATTGATAAAATAAATTTTATTATTTTATAAATATATTATAAATTTACAGCAACCATTTTATAATATTTATTTTAATAAAATAAATATTTTAATTTATTAATATATTAATAAAATTACAATAAGATTAATAGTTAATTTTTTTTTTTTTTGCAATTAGGATAAACATAATTTTCAACTGATATTTAGAGAAAATATTTGAAGGGAAGTTTGAGTTTCTTAATGTCAAATGAGAAATGATGTATGTGTATGTATATATATATATATATATATATATATATATATATACATTAAATATGAGAAAGATAAAATAAAACCCATCTTTACCAACTTCAGAAAATGATGTTATGGATTAGGTTATGAGGATGTTGATGAGTACGAAAAAATCTTTCACTCTTTTGGTAAAGGACAATGAACTATTGTGTGTGTGTGTGTGTGTGTATTCTTATATATATATATATATATATATATAAGCATGTTCGACTTAGTGGGTCTGCGTTGGTGGTAGGAGGTGGTGGTGGTGGTGGTCAATTTTCAAAGCCTTGGCTACGTGTTGTCAGTTTTTGGCGGAGAGTGCTTTCCTTTTTTATTATTTCAACTCTACTCTAACAATAATTATTATAATAATAATAATAATAGAATTTGGACATAATTTTAGGTTTTTAATATAATGATGTTTTATTAAAAATTTAAAAGTAAATATTTACGTAAGAAAAAATAAAATAAAATAATAAAAAGTTAAGGAATGTAAATTAACAAAAATTCAAAGCAGATAAGATCGAACTGTTCTCAATTCAGTTCGAGATCAAGAGATAAAGAAGATCGAAATAAATAAGTTCAAATCAGTCTAGTTCTCGTCCGAATTGGTAACAAAAAAAGAAACCCTAACTCTCTTATTTGAACGAGATCAAAATGTCAAGCAAATTCAGTAGTAATTGATTTAAGTACACGAAATTAATGCAAACATTTACATTTTTTCGTTTTACTTGTTGTAACTACATTTTTTCTACGAAAACAAAAACAATAAACATTTACATTTTTCAAGTTTCAAAACCTCAAAACCTCTTACCTCTCAATAATTATCACCGAACTGTCAGTAGAGTTCTAACAGTTATAATTCTTCTATTTTATTTAAAAATTATGAATTTAAATTTTATAATTTATATAAAAATCACTTTTATTAATATATTATAAGTTAACGGTAACTAAGTAACAATACTTAATTTAATAAAATCGATAACTTAATTTATTTGTGAATTAATAAAATTATCGTAATTAAATCATATTAAATATTACAAATTTATTATATTTTTAAATGTAAAAAATATTTAGTAATAATTTAATTTTTTTTTGTTGTAGTAGTTATAATAGATTACTTAAACCTCAATTTAGTTTTTTGGTTTTCAATTCATATAAATATGTATGTGTTTATATGAAAGAGGTCTATATAAAAAATAATAATTAAAAAAAATAAAATTAATTTTCTAAAAAATATAAAAATTATAAGATAAAACAATTAATTTTGTGTTTCAAGAAAAATCAGTTATTAAGTGATTGTTTTCTATCATTTTACAATAATTACCTCATCGACACCGTCCGAGCATCCCAAGCACGAAAGTTAAAACAACTATGAAAAAGAAGGCAAATTCCATAATTCATTTCACAGAAAAGAAGACAAATAAGAAGGTTATACTCCAAAAAAGCAGCTAACATACATTCTGCATTCAAACCACTACATGTAAACTCTAATCGGACTCAGATTCTCTACTCGGTTATAATTTTCCGGAAAAGAAAACAACATATATTGATGAGCAACAAAAGGTAGTTGTTGATCATATGTATAACAAAATCATTGTATTCAACCACTCTGTTTCCATCATCAGCTAATCTTGATCGATGATAAATCTCTTTTTTCTCTACCCTGAAACTCACCCTGCTCTCACTGCCACCCTATGCGGTAGAAAAAAGAGTGTAAGAAGGAAAGCTACGGAGGACTTTTTCACGTACCGGTAACGTCTTGTCTTCACTTTCGCATTTATGTGCAAGACCATGAATCCTCCAATTCGTTTGATGCTATACACTATCCGAAATATGTTAGCATCGGTGAATCATAACGTTTGACTAAAGTACATGTTCATGAAGTATCTTGAAGGGTTGAAGCCAGTTAAGATCACTGCAGAAAGAAAAAGAATGTCAGCTGAAGTTACAAGAGAATTAGGAGCAATATTTTAACACTTACAGATGGGAGAAAGAACAATGACAACACCAATTGGGTAGAGGAAAAAAGTGGTCCTCTCCAAAAACGGGAGTACTGCAGCAAGATAATGTGTTTATCAGCATTTCAATTTGCAGAAATGATCAAACAGCGATTTCTTAAAAGGAAAACTTCAGTAGCCATGCGCACGTTAAAACCATATCAGGGCAAATGTCATTGCAGATTCTGAGCAAAGTATTAGTTCAATCTATTAATTCTTCTGTCATCAAAGGATATCTTTCTTTAGAAATTAAGAATTTCAGCTGTGACTTTGAGAGAGAAAAAGAAAGAAGGAAATTCAAGACCTAAAACCTCCCCACCCTCTATCTAGGCAAAACCAAAAGATAGTACTAAGGCAAAGTTTGTCTTACTCAAATATAAGAAATGAAAATGGATGAGATATATATGAGATTGGGACACATGAATATTGTCAAAGGAAATCAAGCCAAAAAAACCAGTTATCATGATATTAACTTTTTTTCTATACCCAAATTCATTAAAGAGCATAAAAGACCAAATACCAGGTTAACCTGACCAGGACAATTCCTAAATATGATCTCATGATTCCATCATGTAAATCAATTGTTGTCATGCACAGCATATGCACAAAGAGGCAGCGAGAGAGAGAAAGAGAGAAAGGGAAGGAAGGAAATTTAGCTTACCGTCATAACCTAAAAAGTTCAGATAGTGATAGTACGAAGCTGCCACCATGAAAAACAGGTTTGATAACAAGACGGGTATGAATCCATGGGCTACCAAAAGAGGTGACAGAAAATAATGTATGACTGCCACAACAAAAATATCAGTCATGTTGAAGTTTAGTAAAGAATATAGCTACACATTGATCCATTAATTATTGTCATGGTAATTGGTAATTACCATAAAGCATAACAAACATTGGGAAGAAAGAGTTGCAGTGCACGTCAAATGCATACAGCCTTGAGGCAAAGAAAACTGGAGTCAGCACTAAAATTATGTAGGAAAGTAAAATGAAAAAGAGAAAATGAGTCTATTTGCACTCATGGATTTTATATATATCTATTTGACATTACTCAATTACAAATACTTGGCAACCAGAAATTTTAGACTTGCCATTCAACCCGTTGCTCAACAACATGACTGTTTGGTGCCTCTTCCCGAAGATAAGAATTTGTCAGGAACCTGCATGGATGACGGAAAAATTCACATCAAACCCAAGGAAATGGCTTATGTGATTTTTCACCAAATAAACATCAATTATAAGATTCAGGTAAGAGTCTCAAAAACTAAAATATAAAGCTGATGATAGAAGTAGAAAACCATCAGAATTATGGTTGCAGGTAATCTAAAGTTAAAAGCCAAGAAAGCCAATGATATTGACTACTGGAAAATGTTGGTCCCCTAGAGTATCCATAATAAGGACTAACTATATCATGAAGCAGCTGCAGAGATGAAATGATCATGTAACTCCAAGGTTGCATGAACATAAAAGACCAAGTACTGTCAGAAGTTAAGCTTACCAACAACATGTAGCCAGAACTGCCCCGATAACTAAAAATTGGAAAAACAAAACTGAAATAACTACAAAAACAGCATGTGAGGCGCTGTGATCATACCTGGAAAAAAAAAAACACCAAATAAGATCATATGGAAATGGAAATGTGAACAATCTAGAAGTATGAATTCATATAACAGAAGATCAACTTCCAAAATTCTACCAAATTAATCCTAGTTAGCATTACAAAAGGTAAACTACGTAGAACTTAATATATGGTAATAAACCTTAACATAAAACAGTAAACTACTTCTTAATAGACTTAATACGCTGAATATGATTTAAATCTAAGAATACCCTGCCATTTTAGCTAAAGCCCATTAGGACATCTCATCATAATAATAAAAATTATAGATGACTGGCCTATTTACCAATACTAAAAAACAAACAAAAAAACTTACGCAGCACAGTATGCCAAAGTTGCAACTACCAGAAGCAGGCTGCAGATTACAACAAAAGCAGGGTCGTCACGTGCCCACTGATTCTTAGTTTCTGAGAGAGAAACGAAAAGCAGAAATCTTAAAATAAATCCAGGTACATCATATACTCAACAAGTTAATAGGATAATTAAACAAGAAATTATCCTATCAACAAAAATACACAGACGTTACCAAGGGCCAAATCAAAAGGATCTTCTTTTTCCTTTATAATATCTGAAATGGTATAAAATTACTACTGATATCTAAATCACTTCATTCTATATCTCAATCACTTCCAAAATGCTTAAGGACAATACTTCCATTTCTGCCAAAAATAAACCGATACTTCTAAGGTAAAATGGCCGTGATTCACTTCTCTGAAATTTCTGTCACGACATCAAAATATAAGTGGAGCTGTGAAGACGACACTTCGCCTTTTACCTAAAATTGTACCAAATTCACAGTTATTCCCAATTTTGGTTACTCAAAGTCCTTGAGAGGGGTACTTCATCACAAAATACGATTTCACAATTGTTTTTGAAAACTATGCATCATCTAAAAAGGTGAGACGATCAATATTCGCTAAGCATGGAAAACCATAAAGCATTCAGTGAGAAAGGTTATTGTCGACGGTAAAAGTTTGCTTTGCAGATTATATTTTACATTTGCAAGTGGTAATAAAACCAACATAGACATGCATAGGCACAATCCTAGGCTTATAAATGTGTATTCTTGCAAGCATCCATGGCTATAGATTTTGAAAATAACAACATGATAAATACAGTTGGAAGAAAATAAGATCCAGGCAAAACTCACATGCTACTCCAAAAAATAAAATTATATGGAAATTTTATCAACACATCATAAGTTGCTGTTCCCTTCAAATTTGACCATATAAGAGAATATGAATTGTTATCTCATAAGAACTGAGGCTTACGTTTGTGATATTTCGTATGCTGGTAGCTGCATCCATTGTACAGTTCCACATGCAAAATTCAAAATCACATTGATTAGGAAAATTCCAAGTGCCAAATCTTCTTAACACTAAGCAAAATATTTAATCCACATTGGAGAACTCCACTTCTCAATTTCTCGCAGTGAGACAGAGCAGGCATAAAGACAACCCTAAACCCAAAGGAAAACTTATAAGGTCATACCAGAAATTGAACTAAATAATTGGTTGTTAGCCTACAGAGTTAAATGACAACCCACAAACTGCTCCTCTTCCTATGACCCTTCAGGGTCAAGGCAGCAAATCTTGAGATTTCATACAAGAGTACTTAATTCACCAATTTCTGACAGTTGGATGGAAGGAACATAATGATAAAATGAGCCACAACAATATGAAGAACTAGAAAGAAGATAATGATTCAAATACTTGTAAACTTACACAACTTTTGGTGAAGTGCATAGGTGAAGCATTTGCCAGAAAGTGTATTCAATATCCATTTGTTGCCACTACAATGACAAACAGAAAATGAAAATAAAAAATAAAATACAATATACATCCCATTTCTGATTTCAGATAAAAGAACCAGACAAGAGAATACACACACACACACACACACATATGCAAATAACAACATTCTATCACCGATTTGGTGTCAACATGGCTCGCATCAGACATTTTAATTTCAATTATTTTAATATCACTCTCTACCATTCTTCAGTTAGAAATTTTCTTCTCGATTTCAAGTAAATGAATTGGTTCACGAGTACAAGATCTTCTAATCGTGAAAATTAAAACTGGTCACAGCAAATAGCAACTTAAGCAACGCGAAACTCATGGACGTTAAAACTTGCATCAAACAGACTTGGGCAAGAAATGGCAAGCTAAATATCGCAACAGTAATGGAAACCTCGAATGCTTGATTTAGAGGGATAACAGGATACTGCCATGCAAACATTACGCAAATTTCCAGAAATGAAAACCTAAAACCAATACGTCAATTTTAGAGAGGAATTATAAATGTACTCTTCTTAATTTGATCTAATCAAATAAGCGTGCTTGCGTGAGTGTTAAGAGACGAATGGGACTTTGAACACAGTGGAGATCAGATCCGCAGAGAGAAGCAGAGAATTCCAGAGATATGAAGAGAAAACCTTGATAATTCGACGGAGGTATTGGGGAAAGACAGGATTAGCTCGAGATGTGGAGGACGAGGAACGCCCTCTCGAAGTTGTCGGCAACATCGTTGCGTCTGTGTTTTATTTCTCTCTTTTTCTTCTTCTTCTTCCTCCTGCTGTGATTTCAAATGAGATCAGAGAGTATTTAATCGAAGATCTGGGAGATTTCCAGAGCTCTTCTATCTGTCTTTCCTGTTTCCTCACTTCAGATTGGAAGCAGATAGTCCTGAAAACGACGACGACGACCCTCCATCTCCTTCTGTCTCCTTTTCTTTCTTTTTTTTTGTTAGTAAGTATTAAAGTTTTGGGCTTTACCAAGTTCAAACGGGCCTTTGAACTGTTTTTGCTCCTTTTTTAAGGATCAATAGCCATCAAGCATATATATACCCAAACACACACACACACACACACACATATATACATATAACAAAGTTTAAGCCCAAGTATTGTATATATACATATACCCACATATACATATATGCATGCAAAGTTCATATATAACAAGTTTAAGCCCAAGTATTAATTCCCCCCTAATTGCCTTGGTCTGCTGCCTCAATTGGATACATCCCTGTGTTAATAATCAGTGAGTAGATTTCTGTTAAAGATATAAAAGTAAATTAAATTCTCCCATTTTGTTTACCGAAAATTCAGAATTTGCATTTTCAGATAGATTTGAGTTCTCTGCTTTTCTGTCACTTGGGGGAAAAAAAAACATCCGGATCGTCTAGTTCGTGTTCAAATGGATCCTCGGGAAGTAAGTGCAAGTTTCCGAGTTTCCTGCCTAAGAGCACGCAGAGTACTGAATTATGTTAGGTTTAGTTCGTGAATTGCTGAATTCCCTCTCGAATTCCTGTCTGGTATCGAAAAAGATTGTCAAGCACTTAGTATTGAAAGAATGAATTGTTTCTTTTCTTGGGTAAGGTTAGTTTTGCTCAAATTCTATTGCTTTGCTTTTCTTCTACTGGACTTTGTTTGCTAATGCATGGTGATGAGGGAAGTTGGAATACCCTAGATGTTTGAATTTGAAATTGAAGAAATATGCTGTTAAATAGAAGAAGATAAACAAACACAGTATAATGGAACTCACAGAATGCAATATGAAAGACATAATCATGGAAATAGAAGAACTCATACACTAATCGAACATTCGGCATTTCAACAATTATGGCAATAAAATCATGTTGATTGCAGCTTTGAGATACATGGCGTTTAACTGTTGGAGGCAGACTCATGCTAACCTAGGAACTGGACTACCTTCGGAAGGAGGTAATGTCACTGATCTCAAGAGTTCCAGTGAGAATACCAGGCCAAGGAAATGTGAAAGTATGGTGTTTGCCGACGCCTGCACAAGCAATAGATAGTGACAGAATAAGATACAAGCAATGAAAACTCTGAGTTCTATCAACGTAAATTTTAGAACAAAGTTATCTTTGTTAATTTGCAAATTAATTCCACAAGATTTCTATATTTGTTAGAAAATATAACTATGGCCTTGTACAAATCCTTGTTATGGAATGGCAACTTACCAGGCCTAAATATTTGTACTTTGTAACAATATGGTACGAAACAAAAGGACAATGAAGTTTTCAACAATTACCTGCACCAAGAAAACATCCAATGCAAGAACTGGACTATATCCAGGAGAGATTTGCTGGTAATAAGGATTTGCCGAAGAAGTAAGAGCCTTTGCAACTAATGATCCTACAGTTGCTTGCATACCAAGGATAGCAGCACCCATTCCCAGAAGATTCACTGCTATGCCATTTTTCAAGCTTTTCACAACATCAGCGCGAGGCGGAGCCTGAAAGCACAAATCAAAGTAGACTTTAGAAAATATGTCTAAAAAAGAGGGGGAAATGAGGAAAAAATGTTCATTCAGGGGAATTGCGATAAGGAAGAGAGCACAATTGTAAAGCTCAAAATTAAAGCACCCACCTAAAATTTAATTCCAAGCTTGAAGAAGATAATCGTGTAGGCATTCATTTTAGCTCTATCATGAGATAAAACTTGACAGAATGGAGGACAAAGAAAACAAACCCAGATATCAAAAACAAGAAATAATATGCCAATTTCGCAAAACACCATCCAGACAAGACATCTTATTCCCAGCAGAACATTTGTCCCAGAATTGCCTAAATATATAGCTGCAAATACAGTTATAGGCTATTTAAATTTTCTCCTTACTCTATTCCAAACAAATTACTATCCTCAATTTTATACGAATCTCGAGATGTAAAGTCAAAACAAAGTTTTGTATTTAATCTACCTCGAGCACTCGGCTTAAATTCTTCGAGGTAGAATTCCGATTCTTGCTTCTTGAAATTAAAATTAGCTAAGAATGGAATTAGAAATTTTGAACCGACCAGATAAATAATCCAGATTATTATGTCCCACCCAAATTTGACAGTGATTCGTAATCTGAGTATTATGGAAACACATTGTCAAATTCCTGCACCAAGGAAATAAGATTTCAAGTAGGCATATGGATGATTGCAGGGACCTACCTTCCAGAGATATTTAGTCCTTGATCCTATTATAAGATGCATGCATACACAAAGAAAAGCACCACCATTCTACTTTAAATTTTAAACGAATCTAAGTATTCAGTTGCAGTTAGAATACCTTGGATGGATCATTAGCAGTTTTCCGAAGCTTCTCAGAGAGTCGAATATACCCAAATGACCAAAAAACTGAAATAAATGCAGCTGCAATCCCGCCAGCAGTAGCATAAAATGTTGCAGGAGATGTAATCTTCCCTGTGATAACAACGGAGAAGGAAAGAATAACAGCAGCCACCACCGTGCACACCAACTGTCCCCAAAATCCTAGACTACCCAGCCTCTTGAAATACCTTGAAGTGCTCTCTAATCTCTTTGCAACCTACAGCATTTGGATCCAAAATCTTTACATTCAAATTTCCAAATTATACAGAAATAGTACCCGGATTCCAATTAACTAAGGCTATGGTTGTAATGAATCTATAAATTACTTTGCAAATTATTTTTTCATTTCAAGGAAAGATTTTCACTAGAAATAAGTCTTTATTTGCATAAATGACCGTTTGCTAAAGGATAACATTTTCTAATTCTTATTTTCTAAATCCACATTGTCTATGGATGTCTTTATTCATATAAATATCGGAGAGTTGCATATTTGTAAAATGATGGAAGCACGAATAAATTTTTTTGGAAGATACTAAAAATAACAGTTTAAAAGTCTCTAAAATTCATTCTAATTTAACTAATGTTTTTTTACTGTTAACTAATGTCTCTGGCTGTATGAATAAAATACATACAAATTCGCCCTATGAATCATAATAAAACTAACAATCTTTGTCTGTGCTTCTTATTATGTAAGCACAAAAATTGCAGTCACAATCCAGAGAACCAAAGATTCTTCCTACACAATTCAATATCCTCCTAAGAGAACATCCCAACAGAAATCCACATAATTTGCCTTAAAGAGAGAGCAATGTACTATAACAACACAATAACAGACTGAATTTCACGGGTTAATCTGCACTTATCTACATACAGCAAAATCCGATCATAATCACTTGACTCTAACTCTGTTCCGCAGAAAATTATACATAATTTTCACAGAGCTAAACTAAATTGAAGTATCTTGAAATTGAAAATCTTATAACGAGGAATTACCCTACCAAAAGACTGTTCTTCTATTAACTTCAAAATCCCAAAAACGGAAATCGGTGAAAAGGATAAGAAAGAACGTGAGCGAGTTTTGCCTTATCAGCTTCATTGTTCGGAGAAGTGGAGGCAGGAGTGACCGATGCAGATGCAACTGTGAACGAGCGCTTTGATCCTCTGCTCGTAAGAGCACCATAAACCGAAGAAGAAAATATATCAAGAGATTTGGAGCCACTTTTGGGAGAGACGAGAGAATTGCGATGGGAATAGAGTGAGTCGAACGAGAACGGTTGGCGCGTGAGCCTCTGACGGAGGTTTAGAGGTGAGAGTCCCGTCGCCGGAGAAACGCCGGAACTCGCCGCCCGCAGCAGTAGCGCTTGCATATTTTAAGTTCGGCGAAGAGGTGTTGGCTGAAAGTGGAATCTCTCGAGCTACGCAGCTGTACTGCAAGGTTTTTGGGCTTTGGTGGTCTGTTTCGCTTTTACTTGTCCACGAAATGTTCTCAGTAATTCTGAACCGTTAATCCTTGTGGGGCCCAGAGATCACCATGACCGACTGAACGATCAGGATTGAGCCATAGCCCTAGCCCAAATCAATATGGGCCAATAAATGTTTAAAGGCCTGGCCCATCAAAAAAGCCCACTAGTTCAAATATGGGTATATGGCTTATAGACTGTTACTCCAATTCATCAGTTGAATCCAGACATATATATATATATATATTTATATAAGTAGCACTGAAATGTTTAATTATATAACTCTATATTTAATATTACTCGAAGATGACAATAACTCTGGTATTAATTAATTAATTAGAGTAAATGATGTATACAATATCAATAATATAATAAAAATAATTACTATAAAAATACGTAAAGAAGTACAATCTTAACTCGAACTCACTATCTTGTATAAAAAAAAAAACGTAATAATTATTAAATTAAATAGTAATTTGTTATATTCTTCATATTCAACATAGAGTCGGACGAATTTTTTTTTTTTTTTTTTCCTTACATATATAATGGAAGTAACATTATAAATAAAAATATAGAATATGAACCCGTGACTATAATGAAAAGCAAAATTTGGCTTCTTTTGTCAAATGAATACTAATACAAACGTTACGAGATTTACATGGCCCCACCAAAGAAATCATATATCTTTTTTTATTGAAAATAATATTTTAATATAAGTTTTTAACTTACTTTAAATATCTCGATTAAATAAATATAGTTATCACGTAATATCATAATTTAACTTTGATAATAAATTTTTATAAAATATTTAATTATGTACGAATAAAAAATCGTATCTATTTTGATGTTAACATTTAAAATATTTATAGTGTAATAACGAGAGATGATAAAAATTTATATATTTAAAATTCATAGTATGTCAAATGATAAATAGAATTTTAAGTTTAACATTCCAAATTACATTATAAATAAATGGTGGTTTTTGAGTTTTAACGCATAAATCAATTTACTCCGTAATAAAATTTTACTTGTGAAGCTAAAATATTAAGTTTTTAGAAATTTCACACGTATTTGTTATATTTTTTAAAAGATATTGAATATATAATACATCGTAGCAAAAATAATTTCATGTATTTTTTAAAAAAATAATAAGTTTCACAAATCAAAATTACAATAGTTAAATTTTATGTTACGGACATCAAGATCGTTTTTAAATTTTTTTAAAACTCATTCAAAATCGTTTAGATCTTGAATTGCCATTATCATCGTTAAATAAACTTTTCAGTAAAAATTTATAGATTTATCAGTATGCGATACATATATACAAATCGTAATACAATATAAATTAATTTTTAAATAACGATAACAAAAATGTATTAATTATTTAGTTAATTAATGATTAATGATTAAATAAATTTTAGAATAAAATAAGATTATATACAAATTATTATGAGATTTGATTAGGTTAATATGTAACGGTTCCGGAAATTTAAAAGAAAATACATATAATAATCTGAGTGCGGAAGCGAAATAAAAGATTAAGATTAACATCCCTTATACAATAATTTAAAAGTATTAAATAATATCACAGAATAAATTCTCTGAAAGAAATACGAGAAATGAAAAAAATAAAGGAAACTATAAAACATATAGCATCTACTCGCAGTTTTTTTGTGGATAGGGCTCGAGAACCAAGTCCTCCTTATCTAAAATTATTAAATAAGGAATGAGCTACACTATCCCAGTAAGGACATCACACTATATCACCGTCACATAAGCAAATGCTGGTAGAAAATCAAAACAACCAATTGAGCAGTGGATTTAAAACAATACATTTATTTAAAATAAAACTATTTATCATTTTTCTTACCATCGGAGAATTTATGGAAACAAATTACAGAAACAGTAATATCATACAGATCACAATTTTGTACATAATCAGTAACATAAAACATATTTAAATCCGTATTCATTAACAATAACTGATTATCACCGTTTCTCGTTTTCACCAGCCTACTAGTATCTACGGGGATCCATAGGGGTGTCCCCGCTACACGTGAACTATTTTCCTTAACAATCTTAATTTCACGGCCGTCCCCATAACCCGTCTGGTATGAGCACCAAATGACCAAGTCTCTATACCCCGTCTGGTATGAGACAACGTTCACAGTAGGATTTCTTACGAACCCGGTTCGTCAACCATCTCTTATGATATCTAGTGAGACTGTCATCTTATCCATTTATCAGATCACACCCTATTCCTGTTTTTCCTTGGTATCCGTTACCAAATCAAACATAATCACATAAACAATAAATATGCACCCGGTAATGCAATCATATCTTAAATTCTAAAATCACACAGTGGCCAAATAATGCAGTAATACATGCATTTAAAACCATCAAATAGATAAATAAGATATCATCATGCTTTTACACTGTAAAATAATTCAACAGAAATCAACAGAGAACAATGTTCGATTTCGGGCTCTATTAGCAATTCGTAATTAATTATGTATATCTATCTAACTTGTACAAAAGACCATATTATTATTTATTCAAACTTCACATTTATGATATGAAATAGGGTGAGAGGTCCTTACTTGATTTGACGTCGAAAAGCTAAATGGTTACTGTGCCTATGGGCGGTCCCTAGGTTCCCTAAATTTTTATTCGGGAACTGAAATGTATTTACGATACCTACAAATATTCCAAATAACCCAAAAATCAGTCATAGAACTTACTCGGCCAATTTCAGAAATCCGGCACGGCGGCAATCCACCTTGGGTTGGTTGTTTTCTGCCGTTTTCGACCGAATTCAGTCAAACTTGCTTCGTTCCTCTGAGAAAACACACTTAGGACCCTCGGTGGGTATAAAAAACGTAGAAAATCGAAACTCACTGGCAATGGGGCTCTTCGGTGCGGCGGCTCCTCCGACTCACGTTGCGGTTGCGTGTTTTGCTCCGGTCAATCTGTAGAGGAGGAAACAGTGATCACAACGGTGAAAAAATCACATCAAACGGGAATCGGAAATGGCCTCATCGGAGGCGAAAACTGAAACACCTTACAGCGGCGCCGCTAAGCTTTGGTGACGTTTTTCGGCCAATTGGTCGGTTCTTTCACTCCGATTTGGTCATGGGTGGGTTTAAAATTGAATTTTGTATAATAAGAAAACTTTTTACCTCGTTTGGCGGTCAGAAATTGCTCCAATACAGCGGTCGGCTCCCCAGCGGCTGGGCTGTCTTCTCCAGCGATGGGCTCTGGCAGCTAGGATTAGGGTTTGGGTGCAGATGGGGTTATTTATACCCATCCGCTTTTGATCTAGGTCGTCCATCGCTTTTGATCTGGGTTGCCATCGCTTTTGATATGAACCGTCCGATCGCGATTAAATATAGAGTGAATCTGGGCCATTTATCATAATTCAATCTGGGCCGTCTGTGCACGTTTTCGATATGAATTGTCCGTGCGCGCGGGAACGGATCTCAGCCGTTCGATCGCGCACACGCGGATCGCCCACGTGGCTCCCCCCGCATGGCCTCCCGCATCAGCGCCTCTGCCACCTGGCGCGCCCTGTTTGGTCGGGGCTGCTGACCGGGTATCTGACGTGGTGCATTTTTTCTAAATTGCACTTTGGTCCTTGTTTTCCAATTTCTTCTTCAAAAATACTCATATAACCCAAATTTTTATCCATTTTTTACCAAATTATTTTCAATTTCGCCCCCCATCTATTTTTTCCAATTTTTACACAAAATAAATTAAAAAATTTTACTTTTATTAATTTTAATTTAATTTTTTTTAAAATTTGTTTGGGGTCTTACATAATATGTATATATTGTGTGTACAAACAAACAAGGTTAGTTGTTGAGTGTTGATTGAATTAAAGAGTGGTTGTGGGATACCAAAACCATATGTTAATGTCTTCATATAACACACCCCCCTTGGTTTTATCAACTTTCTTAACAAAAGCCAATGGCCCGTGAAAATTGTCGGCTACATTTTCCTTTTTACTAGTGAGAAATTCCTTGTCCAAAGTGAATCGCCATTTTTATTCCATGTGACCAAATTTTGTCTTTGTATTTTAGCTTCCCCAAGTTAAGGTATATATATATATATATATATATATAAAGAAATACAAAATCTGGGTACCATATTTTCTACCCCCAGTAAATATCAGCAGCATCAAAGTCAAGAACTCCCTAAAAGGGAGCAAGCAAGATGGAGTAGGAGTTAATGGTGGGTGCTCTGCAAACTTGATGGGCGCCAACTCAATTGGGTGTCTTCTTCTTCCCCATTTGCAGATTCTTCTGCAACTTTCCCTATTTATAATTTCATGCATAGTGAGCCACAGAAACTCAGTCAACTCATTCACGCATTTCACTTTCTTTATTCCCCTTGTTTGTTTTTATTCAGAGGGTAAAAAAGAAAGGTGCTAGCTTTAACCCATCTCAGATCGGTTTGGTCACCAAAACAACCATAACTGCAGTTGGTCACCATCTCTGTCCTCCTCTCTCTCTCTCTCTCTAAATCATCCACTATGAATATGTAGCAGGATGGCGACTCAGTCTCGCTGAGTTAACTCGAGAAAACTATGAGTTTCGTTTACTTCTTTATCTTCCTTTTTCTTCTAGCTCCATCATTTTCTCTCAATAATGACGGTGTTCTTCTCCTTTCGTTTAAATATTCAATCCTCAGCGACCCATTATCCGTTCTCGAGACCTGGAATTACGACGACCAAACCCCATGTTCGTGGACTGGAATTACATGCACTGAGTTCAGCAACTGGGGAAGTGATACCCCTGAGATGTTCGGAGTCACGAGCGTCGTCCTTCCCGGGAACAAGCTCCTGGGTTCGATCCCAGTGGAGTTATTCAACATGACGCACCTTACCCACCTGGATCTTTCAAACAATTTCTTCAACGGAACTTTGCCGGATTCAATCTTCAACGCCGCTGAACTTCAGGTGCTGTCTCTCTCCAACAATGAGATCTCTGGCGAGTTGCCGGAGTCTGTCGCCGGCATGGTTAATCTTCGCGTCTTGAATCTCTCCGACAACGCCTTCGCGGGAAAGATACCCAAGGACTTGACGACGATGAAGAATTTAACCGTGGTTTCTTTGAGGAGTAACTATTTTTCCGGGAGTCTTCCCGGTGGTTTTGATTCTGTTCAAGTTCTCGATTTGTCGTCAAATCTGTTTAACGGGTCGCTTCCGGTGGATTTCGGAGGAAAAAGTTTAAATTACTTGAACGTGTCTTATAATAAGATTTCCGGTTCAATCGCGCCGGAATTTGCAGAGAAAATCCCGGAAGATGCCACCGTCGATCTCTCCTTCAATAATTTGACAGGACCCATTCCCGAGTCTCTTGCTCTGCTTAACCAGAAAACGGAGTCGTTTTCCGGCAACGCAGAACTCTGCGGGAAGCCGCTGAAGAATCTTTGCTCTATTCCTTCCACTCTCTCTACACCACCCAACGTTTCTACCACCATATCACCGGCGATCGCCGTCATACCAAAACCGATTCAGTCGACCCCGGAAACGAGCTCGCCGGGTCCACCGAGCAATACCCAGAATCAGACAACGAGCAGACTAAAAGCAGGAACCATAGCCGCCATCGCCGTCGCGGATTTAGCCGGAATAGCCATCCTTGCCATGATCATTCTTTACGCATACCAACTCAAGAAGCGCAGAGCTTTCAGAGACGACGAGAGCAAGAAGAAGAAAACAGACTACTCAGTCGGAAAATCAGTTAATGAATCGGGAACTTCATTAACGACGGAATCACCACCTCCGCAAGCAAAAGCATGTTCATTCTCATGCTTGACCATTAAAGACGGTGAGGAACCATCATCATCGGAGGCCAATAGCTCCGATAGCGACCGGGAAAACGAACAGAACAACGCTGTCGGAGTCAGTCGAGCGTTCGAGACGGCCGATAGCATCGAGGTTTCCTAATGACTGTCGACGGGGAAACCCAGCTAGAGCTGGAGACTCTGTTTAAGGCTTCGGCGTATATACTCGGAGCCAGTGGCTCCAGCATTGTCTACAAGGCAGTCGTTGAAGATGGCAGGGCGTTCGCCGTCCGGCGAATCGGCGAGAGCTGTGTGGTTGACAGGTTAAAGGACTTCGAGAATCAAGTTAGAGCTATAGCTAAGCTGCGTCACCCAAATTTGGTTACAGTTCGTGGGTTTTACTGGGGAAATGATGAGAAACTTGTGATCTATGACTACGTCGTCAATGGCAGCCTCGCTAGCTCCAGTTACAGTAAGCTCCTTACTCCATATCTCTTTCCTATTTTCGCGCACGTTAGATTACAAATCCATCTTTTACTAAAGTACGCGCATTATATTTTTACTATGTTAGCAAATCTTTTACTTTTCTGCTAAAATACGCCGACCGTCTTCGTAGTCATCATCTTCGGGTACACGCTAGCAAGATAGACAGTATTAAGACTAAAATACGCTGAGAAGATACCGACCGTTAGATTCCTGTGGGTACTGCAACATAATGGATCTTATGGTTTAAGACCAATTTTATATTTGTGGCCACTCTCGAAAAACATATATATATATATGTGGCCCATAACATATGGGTGTGTTGTTTTAGAGATTCCTTAAAATATTGGGTCAATAAAAATATAATTTTACAATGCTTAATTATTAAATTAAAATAATATGACAAGAGTGGTGGTCCTGTAAATATATCGGCCTCAAAATCTGTATAAATACTTTGGTAAGTAATATTAACATTGTAATTCTTATATATATATATATACATTTAGTTGTAATATAAGAAATATTAATATTATATTTTATTATGAAAAACAGGAAGGTCAGCTGGCTCATCATCGTCCCCATGCAATCTCTCTCTCAAAGCCAGGTTAAAGATAGCCAAAGGAGTAGCCAGAGGACTAGCTTACATCCACGAAAAGAAACTTATCCATGGAAAAATCAAACCCAGCAACATTCTCTTAACCCACGACATGGAACCCAAAATAGCCGATCTCGGCCTCGACCGCCTCGTCTCCGCCGCCGCCGGTCCCAGTCTCGGCAGCCAAAGATCCACCTCGCAACCACAAGACCAACCCACCGCCGGCTCGAGCTCCTATAGCGGCGCACCCTTCTCCGCGAGTCCTTACCAGGCGCCGGAGTCGCAGAAGAATTTCAAGCCGAGCCCCAAGTGGGACGTGTACTCGTTCGGGATGGTCTTGCTGGAGCTCCTGACGGCGAGGGTGTTGTCGGAGAGGGAGCTGGGACAGTGGACCGCCGGATGGGTGGCGACGGAGGAGAAGAACCGGGTGCTGAGGCTAGCTGATGCGACGATCAGAGGAGAGGTCGGGGAGAGGGAGGAGGAGATGGTGGCGTGGTTTAAGTTAGGGTTTAGTTGTACGGCTTTCATGGCGCAGAAGAGACCGAGTATGAGAGAAGTGGTTCAGGTTATCGAGAAGACGAGTAGCGTTTCTTCTTCTTCTACGACGTCGTCTTTGTGTTTATGATGGGTATCGGGTCGGATCCTCCGTTAAGAGTGTTTTCCACTGTTGGATTAAAGCGGGTTGGCTTTGGCTTTTGTACGCGTGTTCGTCAGTTGGAATATATAATAATATTTTAGTTTATTATAAATTTAAATTTAATTATATAATCCATAATTTACAGTAAATTAAACATTATAATTAATTAAAAATTTAAATTATATTTTTAATGAAATTAAATAAATAATTTATCAACAAAGTTATTTGATATTATTTTTAATAAAGTTGTAATTTTAACACTGGTTGTTCATTTTTTTAAAATAAAATTTGTCTAATAAAATATTAGTCAAATGTTAAAAATAATAAAATTATTTAACTATAAAATTTTAAAATAATAAAGTATTGTATGATAAAACATTTTTATTTTAGAATAATCAAAGTTTAAAATAGAATTATTTATGTCATTTTTATTTTTTAAATTATAATTTTTTTTTATCAAACATTTATTATTATTATTATTTTAATTTTTAAATATTAATGTAAGCTTCTCCTTTTAACGCCCCACCATCCCATCCAAACGACAGCGTCCATCCCAAGCCCAAAACCCCCTTGCCATTTTGACTTACAGAAACCCCCTTTTCCCCGCCATGGAACAGAATTTCCCCCTCAAAACCAGATCTCCACTCATCACACAATGTCCACTCAAACAAGTCACTCATCT